AACAGAAAATCGCGGACCGCAGTTTTTCACGTAGGTGTGAACGCTTCTTGAGCCTGACATGTTGCAGCAAAACCCTATTTCTTCGTTTTGACCATGGTAGAGTGCGTTGTTTTGTACGCAACTGGAGCTTCATTTGTGCTATCAATAATATAATATTGTCCTAATAGTAGAGGGCCATACAATTAATAGGTCATCCTGCATACCCTTAACATCAAGAAGTGTTTTCATAGATAAATCGAATGGTGCAAGTACCAAACTGTCCTCTTAACCATCAAACTGGACTATTATTTTAAAGTGTTAGCTTTTATAAAATGTTTGTGAACTAAACCCAATTGCAATCGATTATTCTATTCCAGATAAACACTTGTACACACTAATAAAAATTGCGAGAAAGGCCTACAACAGGAAAACCGTTTGAATATAAGCGAATCAGTTACCACAACCAACGAAAATCTGCTTTTCCCATAGTTTGTTATGAAATCGGAAGAATTTGATATGGTTGATGGTGCGTTGGAGATGAATGGAAAAATATGTGAAGAGTCTTTGGAAGATGCTCTATTGGCTGATCCAGATTGTTGTGGGATTTGCGGGTATGTCCAGACTTTGAACCGCGAAAATATAGCGTTTAACAAACCATACAGAATCAGTCATGTCCTATTGAATTGCTAATCACTTCTGAATTAATTCATTGTCCTAAAGATTTACTGAACTAATATACATAAGGAGCTTTAATTTATACGAGCCATTTAGAAGCATTATGTAAAACAAGAGAAGGCTATGGATAATTCGTCAGATTATTTCTTGAACTCGAGCAAGCAATTCAACCAAAGAAAAATATGATTGGAAATAAATCACCTAAGAACAATGTAACTTTAGCTACAAATCTTAAAATGTATCTCAGCGCCAGCAGATAGGCCTATATTCAATAACGATGGCAATAGTGCTGACTTGAATTATCAAGTAATTGACTATTTTTCATTATTTCTATTCATTTAGATTTATTGTGCATTCAAGAACAGCGAATCTATATAAAGAAAATTGAGGAATCAACGCTCTGTTTCGAACAACTTCTGTAAACCGTACTGTAAAACTCTCCAGAAAAATAAATTTTCATCATGAACAGTGTCGAGGACTATATTGTCATAGTTAAGAAATATCATAGCCAAGCAATTTTCTGTAAAAAAGTCGAATTATCATGTGCCCAAAATTTTATTGTAATTGTGCTGCAAGCAGTTAATAAGCAAACAAATAACGTACCGCATACGAATGCACTATTATTAACCCGATTTAAATCTCTTCGATTTTTATTTGAGGATAGATGTAAAAGCTTTTTTATACAAAACTTATGAAAGCAGAGAGCAAATAAATTACTGACTGCAGGAAATCGTGATTTTATGTGCTTATCAGACTTGCTCTAATCTATCAACAGCAGTTGAGTTGTAAGATATTTTAAACAATTACTCTCATCAAACATTTGTTTCACCTTATTGTCAAAGTGGTTTTACTTGTTTTAGTTACTTATTGAAAATTAAAATGGCGATAAATTTTTGGACATGTTTATTAGACGGTTTTTTACTAAAGGTTGCTTAATCTTAATTATGACAATATATATTTTGAAATATTATCTTGTGTTTTTAATTTATTTTTGCATACATATAAACATTAGACTTTATAGTAAATTACATACGCCGACTGTTTTTCTTACTGAATTAACTTGCATATATTTGACCGTTCAAATTTATTTCTGTGTTTTATTATTAATTTTATCAGTTTGAATTCTACGGATGGAAACCAAAGTTTATATTAAATTTCGTATCTTTGAAAGTTACCGTTTGGATGATATGGACTAAACCAAAATTCCAACATATTATTGCACCAGACGAACTTTCACTTAAATAATAATCTGAAAACCCCCGAAAAAATTTGGAAAATATAAAACAGGGCTGTAAATAACTAAATCTCAATTTGAATATGATTATATTATATGAAAATTTATTAAGTATTTGTCAAATGCCATTAGAGACATTCAGCCCTGTGCTGTATCATAAATGCTATTTTTAACGGCCACACGTTATGGCAACGGCCACACCTTAACAGTTCAGGATAACATTTTCGATAACGCAGCAACACAATCGAGGTGTGCTCTATCTCCGAGTTAACGTATGCGTTTCCGACCCAGTTATC